AGTACCCAATTGCCTCATAAAGTGCCTGGCAACTTCCTCTGACACTTTCCCATGTTGATGAATATAAGCCGCAAGATCCCCTCCGTCACAATACTCCAACACTAGAAAAATCTTATCTCCGGTCTGCCACAGCATTACTTATCACCATTAATCAATCATAGAAGAATTCAAAAATTAAAAAGAAAAAAAAGAGTGGGTATTGATTAAATATATATTATATAAAAAAAAAGAGACCTCAATGGCTTCGAAAAATTGGATGATATTCGGGTGATTAATGGTGCTGAGAATGGAAATTTCTTTGAACAGATTTTCACTGACTTTAGAGCTCAGGAGCTTCTTATCAATCTCTTTAACAGCTACTTCCAACCCATGTTGCCTGTGCCTTGACTTCCAAACCACCGCGAATGAACCCGACCCGATTCTCGGACCCAGTATATAGTCTCCCACTAGTCGGGCCTGGCCTATTCCTGGTCCCCCGAGATCCATCGTCATCATCAAGAACCAACGAGTTTACCCACTCGCTTCACTGGGTTTTTGTTCCCTGAGTTAAGAACATCATCGTTTGTTGTCCTTTTGCTGTTTGGTAATGGTGGTGACGATGATGATTTTGTTAAAGATCGTGGGTGTTTTCCTCTTTCACAAAAACTTAAAAAGAGTAAGACACGACACTCACACAGGCACACAGGAGTAAATATACTTAAAGACGTTTGCAGTTGTTTTTTATTTGATTACGTTTTTGTTGTTCTGTTTTTCTTTTTCTTTTTTTTTCTCGTCTGTGTGGAAACGACGCCGATGTTGGCAGGTAGACAGACACTTTTCTGATAAACGATAGGCTTCGATTTGCTGTTGGAGACTTGGAGTATATATTATATATGTATATATATTTATATATTTATATATTTATATATTTATATATTGGCTTTAGATATTTAAATTTTTATATATAATTTTTGCCAACCAAATTATTATTTTAAAGACTATTTTCCAAAGTCTTGTGTTTGTGGTAGGTTACAATTTAGCTGCCTTTTGAATCTTCGTGTTTCTTATTAGATAAGATGTTTCTGAATTGAGTTTGATCTCCTTCTGTTTCATTTAATTATGGGTCTCATACTTAGATTCCAAAATTTAATGTGAGGATGGACATATATATCTCGCATGCGCATTATAGATGTTAATTTACACAAAATATATTGAATTTATTAATATTTTAATGTTATAAATAATATAGTAAAAATTACTTTTGATATTTATTTTTAATTATATTGAGAGTGGATGTAATTGTTAAAATTTATATAAAAATTTAAATTAATTATTATTAATATTTTTAATTTAAGTAATTGATAATAGTATCAATAATCTCATTATCCAAAGAAAAAATCTCCAAATAAAACCCCTTCAATTTTAAGCCACTTCTCTCTCTCTGTGCTTCCATCCTTGGTCCTGGCGTTGACGAGCTTTATATTAACAGTGGCAGGCGTCAGCGCGGTGGTTCTTTCACTGAGAAGCGACGCTAAACAGTCGGCTACGATTTTTAGGCGCACGGAACTGGCTCGAAGAAGAATCTTCCCTTGCTTCCGAGGTAAAGACCAGGAAAGTGAAGTCCAAGGTTACGCCTAAGGAGAAGGATTAATGTCTTCATGAGGTTACTTACGATAACTTGTCGTTATCAATTTTGAAATATGTGGGTCATTATTTAGAATAAGCCTCGATAAATGATCTTGGTATTTGCACTATATTCATTTCCTTGTCCCACCTTTTTCGGCTTTTTGTTAATCCACTTACATTTATTTCCTTGAAGTTGATACTTTTAAGAAATGTCTACAACGTCATTAGTCTTGAGAGAATGAAATGATTTATAATATAAAATAGAGTAAAATATTTAAATATTTTTAAATTTTAATTAAAATTATATAAAATTTTATTAATTTTTTAAATAAATATTTTATTCAAATACTTAAACGAGTTTAATGTTAAAATAAATTTTTTTTTAAAGTTAACGACATCCCCTTACATCGACCAACCACCCATCTCTACTCTTACTTCTTTAGAGAGCACCATCAAGCTACCCAAAGGAACATCAAAGCTCCCGATATAACACTGGATCTAATGATTTCTTGGTAGCCTCAATACTCAGCCTCAGTTGCAAGTGATTAAATTTTTTTTTGAAAAAATTAAAAGTTATAATATATTTAATAATAATTTTTTAAAATAATAAAAATTAAAAATATTTTAAAAATATTATCACGTTATTAAATTAATAGAAATATCTACAGTTGATTAATGATATGACTTATTTGTTTAATAAAAATATTTTTTTTAAAGTATTTATTTTAAAAATCAATAAATTTCGTGTAATTTAATCAAAACTTAAAGGTATTTGGCTTTTTTACCTTATAAAATATTACTATTAATTAGTTTATTACTTGTAAGCTAAGATCTTATCCCTAGTTGTTTTTATAGCAATTAGAAAGTTTAGGTATGATATTAGGATGTATGGATAAACTCTTTTTTTCTTTATTAAAAAAAATTAATTATAAACATATTTTTACTTAAAAAATAAAAAAGAACCCTGAATAAACAAATTAAGAATAATTTTTGAATTTTTTTTAAATTATTTAAAAAATTTAAATAAGTCTTTATACTTTTATTATATTCAATCAAGCTCTTATATTTTTATGTTATGCTAAATAAATTTTTATATTTTTATTTTAAATTAAATAAATATTTATAATTAATAATTAACTTAATCAAAATATCATTTGTTATTTTATATTACATAACGTTAATGTGACATGCTTTATGATATAACATATTGACATATCATAATTAATTATGATGTAACACGTTAATTTGATATAATAACATAATTATATGACTTTTTTTATCTTACATATATCAATATCAAGGGTATAAAATAACAAGTATATTTAATTAATCAATAATTAGTGATAAAAACTTATTTGATAAAAATAAAAATATAAAAATTTAATTAAATATAATTAAAAAAATAAATTTTATTCAAAATTTTTAAAAATTTATTTGAACGTTATGTAAAAAAAATTATATGAAATTCGAAAGATATGTTGGCCCCACAAAGCTGACTTGCTAGTGGTAAACATTCTTTTGTTCAGAACCTCCAAGATTTCGCCACGTAACCGCAATGGAGATTAGCATCCCAACAAATCAAGGCTGCAGCGGAACCCAGAACAGCGCACCGCACACACAGAGAGAATTGGGACAATCACCTCCCGTTTGGATACAAGATTAGAGCGATCCCCAATCCCAACAGTGTATGAAAGCACAGCTGTCATAGGAGAATCCAGCGGAGAAGCGAGTAGCATACACACGGAAGCGAGTGGCTTTGGGGGTTGGAAAATCTTTTGCATTTAGATCTGACATTCCGTAATTCTCAAACCGAATTACGCATAAAAATTAGACTTGCATTTCTGATTTGCAATTACCAAAGCTTCAAAAATAAAAACCATGCAAATTGTGTTTACTATAAACTACAAAAGGAAGAGGCTAAGGAAAACAAAGAGATAAATCAAAGTATTTTATTGAAAGAGATGAGATAGTTTAAGGCTGTTTAATTGAATCGAAAATCGAAATACTCCCCACCCACACGTAAATGCACACTGTCCCATGAGGTACGAATTGTAGCCCATTCCACAGACCAATCTTCTTCACTTCCCCAACTCCCCATGGTCACACTCCTACGCATCACTCCACCATTCTTTTTGTTCCTCATATCAGCCCCTGATCTTCACACGTGGCTATTTCGGTCCTACTCTTTGTGGGGTCTTGTTTGAGATGGCTTAACATGATTGGCCCATCTTTTTTGTAGGTAGTGTGTTTAGTATTTCAGACGCTTTGAGCTAGCCATGAACGTGATTCTGCCTTTCTCCTTGTGTTTCTTTAAAGGCCTTTTAGTTTCCAAATATTCTCTCTGAAACAAGCAAGTCAACAAGTTCACAAGGCAATGTTAGCTCTACTTTTATCTTCATTTACTCTCTTATCCCTTAATCAGCCAGGAATCTCTTTGCAACAGCGTCAGCAAACGCAATCCTTTTTGCTTCCAAACCAGTGCAATGACAAATGTGGCAATTTACGCATACCATTTCCATTTCATTTGAACACTTCTTGTGCCTCAGTTTCCAATGCTTTCCATCTTTCTTGCTTGAATTCCACTACCCTTTACCTCCACATTGGCATTGAAAGCTACGGAATACTCGAGTTCTTCCCTGATGGTATACTGGTAGACTTTCCTGGAAGCTCCACCTGTCGTCAGTACAACGACTTGAATGCTTTTGGTTTTGAAGGAAATGACTACTTTGGTATTTCCGGCGACAATGTTATAGGTTTATATGATTGTGAAGACTCTTCTTTGTGTAAAGCAGATTGTGAAACAAACGACTTGCCTGGCTGTGATGGCAACAGTGGCGGATCCCTGGCATGCTGTTATCCGCTTTCTGATCATACCATTTGGCATTATGGAGATGGGTTTTCCAGTTTTTCCAAGTTTGGATGCAGAGGATTTTCGTCGTGGGTGGTTCCCCGTGGAACCAACACAGGGAAGCGTGGGGTTAAGCTGGAGTGGGCAATTCCTACAAATACATCTGGAGGAGTTTGTGCAAGCAATGCAGATGTCGTCAATGCCACGACAGTTGAAGCAGGAGTCAGGTGCTCTTGTCAGGATGGGTTTGTCGGTGATGGATTTGCAAATGGAGCTGGATGCTTGAAGTGTGAGTAGTTTATTTATTTATATATTTATTTATGCTTGCATCATCTGCATTCTGCACAGGCATTATTTTCCATTTGAAATTTTCTCATCCTGTGGTTCAATACTTGAGTGATCATAAAAATTTAAGGCATTGTGAAACTTTAAGATAAGACT